AAGTATCAGGCAGAGACAGGAGTAAATAGGTGAATTGAAGGAATTTTTGTCAATCAATTTTGGTGCAAAAAATCAAATAGAAAATAAATAAACTTTTGAAATTGATTTTCGACGTGATAACGTTGGAGTACTATCCCAGTTTCTCCCCTAGAATGTGTCTCATAACATTCTACAACATACTTTTTTTTCAGATTTTTAAACAACGGGGACGATAGTGAAAAAAATGAACACCAATTTTATCAGTTGAAAAAATGAAATTTTCTTTAGGCAGCTCTACACATTCGGCGAGGAGCGAGCGACCGCCCGCCCAACCCGAGCCGAGATGCTCGTCGAATATTAGCTTCCGATGATGTATCGACGGCCAAACGACCGACTCGCTGTGGGTAGTGCGAGCACCGAATGTTTGGTGCTCGCCAAAGTAAGAAACCCTTCTCCTGGGGATTAGGCCAGCTGTCGCTACTCAGCGAATTTCGAATGTCTTGACTTGCATTTACGTTCATAAATTTGACACAGAGCAAAAACACATCGCAAGATGACTAATTTTAGACTAATTAAGTGCTGTACTAAGAAAAATTTCATGTCATAGTAGGTAAATTAAAATTAGAAATATTTCTTAATTCTGACGTGCGTGCAATGAAATAGACCAAAAGAAATATAAACGCTAGACCGGTTTATGTGGCTTACGACATCAGTTGAGGTCACTGCAGTACCTCTGACTGGGGGGTCCTAAGATTCGAGTCTTGAGTGGAAGTATTTTCGATACTAGCTTGTCAGCTAGATCAAATTCAGCCGGTCTGGAGGAGAATTCTCACGGCCGGCTGCTCTGATCGGTAATTTTCCATGGTTTCTCCGATCAATATCAGAGGAATGCTGGAGCAGTATCCTAACAAACGGAGCGCCCGCGTTCTTTCCTTCCCTTTCCTTGTCCTATCTTCACCCTTTACTTACACACTCACATGCACTACACTACCCCATACGCAGGAGACCACTCGTGAGTTTAAAAGTTGTCGCGGCTGCAGAGGTGCCTCGGTGAAAGGAGATACCTGGTTGGGGAAACCTCGCAAGCCGACCTGTAGGTCGGCACCGGATATCGCCATCCAGCGGAGGAAGATCACCGCTACCTCCCCTGGGAAAAATGAACTATACTTACGGGACTAATGACCGTGGTCGTTGACGTAGCGATAACACTAATCGAGCAATCTTTGTTAGAGAGGAGGTTGCGTTGCAGGACGGGACGACGCACGTGGTGTGGGCGCTGGGGCGCGGGCCGCTGACGCACCTGCAGGGCCTCAACGTGACGGCGGCGGCGCAGCGCGGCATGCAGCGCGTGCAGCTGCTCAAGAACACGCGCCCGCCCGCGCCGCTGCCGCGCGACGCGTGGACGCTCGAGGTGCGCGCGCAGGCCGTGCGCGTGCCCTCGGCCGACACCACCTACTGGTGCCACGTGCAGCGCCTGCCGCACAGCCTCGCCAGCAAGCACCACATCGTGCAGGTACGCGCGACGAGACGGACTCGGAATAAATGTACCAAACTTCTAGAGCACACAGGGCGCGCTCGAAAATGATTACCTTTTGCCATTTCCCAACAAGTGGTGGGAAAGCACAGCCTCGCGAGCAAGCACCACATCGTGCCGGTACGCGCGACGAGACTGACTCTAAAATGGTATAAATGAAAATGTTGATGAAATAATTGGAATAAATGTTGCAAACTTCTAGAGCATACAGGGCGATCGAAAATGATCACTTTTTGCCATTTCCCACCAAGTGGTGGGTAATCTTATATAACAAAGTTGCACTATATTTGGCACTGTTTTTCTACAGAGACACGAAGTCTCTTTTTCTGCAACAAATCGCGACCCGCAAAACCTACTGCGAAATGAGTTGCCTAACAAACAGGAGCATATGTCACGTGTGTAACTCTGTTTCCCGCCGTATTTCATTGGCATAAAATAATCATATTCAACCGCCGTACATCACCTTTGTAACATTTTTTTCGAGGCTCCGATATGCACGTAATTTGCGCTAACTGCCGCACACCCTCGCCAGCAAACACCACATCGTGCAGGTACGCGCGACGAGACGGACTCGGAATAAATGTTCCAAACTTCTAGAGCATACAGGGCGCTCGAAAATGATCACTTTTTGCCATTTCCCAACAAGTGGTGGGAAATCTTAAATAACAAAGTTGCACTATGTTAGGCCACTCTCTTGACACTGTTTCTCTCCAGAGACACCAAATCTCTTTTTCTGCGACAAATCGTGACACGAAAAACCCAGTGCGAAATGAGTTGCCTAACAAACAGGAGCATATGTCACGTGTGTAACTGTTTCCCATCGTATATTCATTGGCATAAAATTATCATATTCAACCGCCGTACCTAGAAGTTAGTAACATTTTTTTACGAAGCTCTGATATGCACGTAATTTGCTAAAAATAGTACATGATGGTTTTTGACTAATTGTAACAAACCTTCACAAAATCCTGTATGTGTGTTACTGTTGAATAACGAATTACTCTCCCGCCCTACATCAAACATTTAAGACAGAGAGGTTCAATGATGAGGGATAAGAGGAAAACACAATGAGGGGTGAGTGGTAAAATGATGAGAGCCGAGTGGAAATAATGAGGAACGAGTGAGTAAAAACTCTGGGATGAGGGCAAAATGTTGAGGGACGAGGTAGTGGAAAAATGATGTGGAACATAATGAGGGAAGAATGGGAAAATGATGAGGGATGGATGGGAAAATTAAGGGGGACGAGTAGGAAAATGCCGAGGGAGGAGTGGAGGATGTACTAATCAGTTCAATAATGCCTTTAATTGCATGCACAATGTTAAGAAATGGATATATTTCTAAAAAAAGTCAATTTTCAAATTTACACCATTGTTTTGATATTTCTCATTGCTTTTTTGTTGTTGTAAAAATTGCTAATCTGAAAACAACCATGTCTTCCTGAGTCACCACTTCTGAAATTACAATTCTGTTACAAATCTCATTCAACCTTTCTCTTCTAATTTTACTGTAGTTTCGATTTCTTTAAAAAATGAGTTGCTTTGACATGCTGATGCATAATTAAAATGTATTACTGCATGTCGTCAATTCGGTTTTGATAATATAGATATATAATTTGATGATTCTTCTAAAAGAAATGTAATTTTAATTCTTTAATACATAATATATTATTCATTTCTGTACATCAAAAAGAAAACCGGAAACGATGACTAGCGGATAAAGACGATGAAATTATAGGAAGCGACGAAACGAAGCGTATCAAAGGAAGCAAGAAATCTTCGTGAAAGTCGTGCAGAAATTTGTTTCGTCAAGTCAAGCAAATGGTAAGTCCCTACCAAATAAGAGGACTAAAAACGTTTGTTTCAAAGGTGCAATATATTATGTTCTGTTCATAGTTTCTCCTTACTCATTTCCTTATTAAACACAATAATTTCAAGTGTACATTCAGTATCCTTTCTGTTTCCAAGGGATGAAGTTAAAAGCTGTATGCGGTAGTTCCATCCTTATGTGTTGAAATCTTCGTTATGGACGTTTCCAGAAATTTTGAAGTGAATGAAAGTGAGTGAGCTTGCTGACCAACGGACTTACTACTTTCTGATAATATTTCTCACATGAACTTTCAACGATTTTTTTTAGTAAATATTAACTTTTTGGAATTTTACCCTCTTCACTGCACCCCTTCCATTGTCATGATTCATTCCCCTACTGACTCACCCACTCCTCACCGTAATGAGGAGAGTATTGTAAAAGAAGGTATTGTAAACTTGCGTCGGAAAACGGCGGGATTTCGACAGAAAACCTCTTATTGCCGGAACGAATAAGTGGATAAATCCTATCCCTATATATAGTAAATGACTTCCTGTAACACGTTTTGCAGTCAGCGTTGTAGGTCCTTGAAATCCAAAAAACGATTGACAGCAAAACGTCTGTCCGTTGTTTCTTCGATCAATAATAGGCAAATGCCGGAGCAGAAACCTGACCGCGCGTGATCTTTGCTTTCTCATTCTTGTCCCCTTGTCTCTCTCTCGACAAACACACACACTTACATGAGAGACATACATTTCAAGAGACTCTAGTCGGACTCTTAGACCTTGACTGATGTCCCGCTGGTGGAGATTCCAGGAGAGGGAAACCACACACAAGCGGCCAGTTAGGTCGGTACCGGAAGTTGCTTTCTAACAGGGCAGTATCACTGCCTATACTTGCGGGACTGATGACAGAAGCCGTTGACGCCCACGGAAACACAACAGAATGGTAGAGGGCATCATATGATGTCATAGTAGTACCCCTGACCGGGAGGCCCTAGGTTCGAGTGCCGGCGGTCACAGCATATTCGACCCCAGCACGAGAGGTAGGTCGAATTCAGTCGCTGTCTTGAGAAGAAGTCTTGTTGGCAGCTGTTCTGATCGGCAGTTTTCCGTGGTTTCCCCGAACAACAGTAGGCGAATGCCAGAGAAATTCCTTAACAAACGGGCCACGGAGCGCGCGCAATTTTTCCTTCATCTTCCTCGTCCTATCCTCACCCCTTACACTTACACAAATATGCACTACCACACAAACCGGGAGTCCGGTCGGGAGCGTAGAGCTGGTCCGGCTGGGGCAGTGACCCCGCTGGTTGGAGATACCTGGTTGGGGAAAACCCCGCTAGCGGACAGTAGAATGGCGCCGGGTCTCGCCAACCAGCAGGGGAAGACCACAGCCACAGCCACAGCACGAGGAAAACATACACTACACTTACGGGAATAATATTAGCCGTTGACGCGCTCGGAATCACTAACAATCTATCAACAAAATGAATGAATGATTGAATGAATGATTGATTGATTGATTGAATGATTGAATAAATGAATGATTGGATGAATGAATGGATGGATGAATGATTGATTTATTGATTTATTGAATGAATGAATGAATGAATGGCTGGATGAATGATTGAATGAATGAATGAATGGATGAAAGAATAGAGAAATGGAGGAATGCTGTCTTGCAGTACGAGGCGGTGATCCAGCCGGGCAACGAGGCGCTGGTGCACCACATGGAGGTGTTCCACTGCGAGGCGCCGGCGGGCGAGGCGGTGCCGGCCTACGACGGGCCGTGCTTCGCCGCCGAGCGGCCCGCGCCCACGCAGGTGTGCAAGCGCGTGCTGGCCGCCTGGGCCATGGGCGCGCTGCCCTTCTCCTACCCGGAGGTAAGCCAGCCACGATTCTGGTGCTGGTGCTAGCGAGCCTTCAGTTGAACGAGAGCCCAGCGCAATACTAGTCTTAGCCCCCCCCAAATGAAAAATGAGTTATTTATTGACACCAATTGTTATTTAAGAACGATCTTTATACGATGTGAATTAAACTGGCTGTCCGGGGAAGCCGCGTCGAAGGTTGTGTTGCCGACGTTTCGACCATCTTGTCGTGGCCTTCCTCAGGGATGATCTGCTTCCTCAGAGCTGGGTGGCAGACCAGCCCTGAGGAAGACCATGCTAAGATGGTGGAGACGTTGGCAACATAGCTTTCGACGCGGCGTCACCCGGACAGCCAACATCATTCACAAGACTCCGGCCGGCCGCGGAAGCCTACTTACGACTTCCGATCTTTATATGATGTTGGTTTGGTCAGTTTTCCTCTATTAATTAAGAGACTGATTTTTCTGTTCACAACTCTTGCTAACCACAACTATGTAAACGTAAATTGATTTTTTTCATTTTTCTTAAAATTTGTCTTAGAAGTCTTTATCGCGCTGACCCTCTTCAATTATTCTTATTACTGTACATGACTGGTTCGTATTTACGAAAGAGTTGGAACGTCAAAAGAAGACGCACTCTTCCACCAAAATCGTTATATTAACACGTACGCCAAGAGGAATGTCTGCTCTGACTGGAGTGGAATGGAACCACAGTCCCAGTTTAAGTAAACCAACGTTTGTGAAATAATTGCTAATTATTTTCTACAAAAACATGCTCCCAATATGATTGTCAGAAATGAGGTCAACATAATCGCTCATGTGGCCAAACAGAATAACTAAATCTAAAAAGTGTATTTTTATTTAGGCTGATAAAGGATATCTCCATTTTTACGTTATAATCGAACTTCTGGATATATTTTTTCAGTGTTTAAGAATAGAAGTATATCGGCCAAATTGCTTTTTTTCTTTCTTTAAGGAAGCAGGCTTGCCTATAGGAGGACCAGACTACAATCTGTATGTTATGCTTGAAGTTCACTACAACAATCCAGAACAAAGAGATGGTGAGTAACTATGAAGATAAATATGAATTTGCTGGATTTTTCTACGTACAATATAATCGACCATTCATTTGAAACTGATATGATAAATTTGATCTTCATATAGAAAAAACACCTTCATTATATGGCTTGATCTTTCAGAAAAAATGCTAATGAACTGAAAATATTCTCCAAGATTTCCGCTTCACAAGTACTATCTGTATTTATAATTTCCTAATTATAATCATATTTATCTGATAATATGATTTTTCTGAGGCATTTATTTTGTTTCTCTTTCATTCCAAATACATGTTTGAACTTTTCTTCATACCTACATAGCATATTTAGAACTGCTTTATCTGTCAGGAGAAATTAATTGCTCTCATCGCATATGCCGCCCGAATTTACCCAACTAAAACAAGCAGTTGCTTAGTGTCTGTGGAGGACCCCACCTGCAAAAAAAAAAAAAAAAAAAAAATTCGTTATATATTCGAAAAATGTACTAATAAAAATGTATTTGTAATATAATGTAAATAAACATTAGATGTCTGTACCACATAATATTGTTTTAAGTTAAACAAAATTCATTTTATTAAAATACGCCAAATAATAACTTAATTTTATTAAAATCGCCAAATAATAACTTTATCTTATTATAATCCGCCTCCAAATAATAACCCGGTTCTGCTCGTAGCCGTTTCTTGAGGCTGTAATGACAGAGTCGAATTCCTTTGCAGACTGGGTGGACAGCTCCGGAGTACGCCTCTACCTGACGCCCACGCTGCGGAAGTACGACGGCGGAGTCATTGAACTCGGGTTGGAGTACACCGACAAGATGGCCATCCCCCCGGGCCAGGCGGAGTTCATGCTGAGTGGTTACTGTGTCACGGAATGCACCGCTGTGGTACATATGGGTTGAATTTATTAGCTCAGACAGCTTTTTCCATCTATTAGCCTTATTCATCGATATAATGTTTGTGTTGCATGCACTTCTGTTGTTTAAATAACAGTTTAAACAATTGAAAAGCAATATTTTCGTTCTGGAAGGCTCTAAATATGAAAATTGGTAATAGTGATATCCATATGTGAATTATATTTTTCCAACTTTACATTTCTAGCCCTGAGTGCTGTTATAAAATATGGTTGGTTTATATCATTCTGATAATTCGTGCTTTATTTTTGTAATGATTTCGGAAAATATGAGTAACCCTTGAATTGTTACAGAAGCCACTATTTTCCTAGAATTAATTTGACTACCCTCTTTCTCTAGACTTTGAAACGAAATGCACAGAAATTGTATAAACTACGAATAAATCACAATATAGAGTAGTAAAGTTGATTTAAGTACATAATTGCACAATTTATAATTATCATGTTAGTATTTCCTACAGTTGAAGAAGGATATTTCAAATAAACTATGAAAGGCGACATAATTATGAAATACATTACATACCACTAAATTATCATATAGAAATATATTTTCTTTAATTTGAACATGCCGTGCTTTCCACCCTTGGCGCGTAGTTCGACTAAGGACCGCTAGATGGAATGAGTGGTACTATTGTTGGAAGAAATTTAGATACGCATGGGTATAGATTGAAAATTTATAAGAAAGATATATTGTAACTGAAGTAAGTGGTGTAAACAGAGAAGCGGTAGTAGTAGGCTTGAATTGTCGTTTCTCTGTTTACAGGTAAGAGCAAAATGTAAATAGTTTTGAAAACGATAATGTAAATGATAGTTCATAAAAATGAATAAAACTCCACTCTGTTTACAGGGAAACATATTTTAGCTAATTATTATCCTCCATAAATAATTGTCTTATACACATACACACTTAAACACATACACTGTCTTATACACATATATGTATATATGTGTATATATGTATATATGTATATATGTATATATGTATATATGTATATATGTATATATGTATATATATAATAACATTTCATTTCACTTCATTTTATTTACTTGTTTGTTAATTGCACTTGGGGTCGTTCTGCAGGCGGTGCCGGCGGACGGCATCGTGGTGTTCGGGTCGCAGCTGCACACGCACCTGACGGGCGTGCGCGTGCTGACGCGCCACTTCCGCGACGGCCGCGAGCTGCCCGAGCTCAACCGCGACAACCACTACAGCACGCACTTCCAGGAGATTCGCCCCCTCAAGCGGCGCGTGCGCGTGCTGCCCGTAAGACTCACGCGCTTCTCACTCGAAACATTAGACTTTCCAACCATAGTAACAACATAATGACAACATAATGATAATGATAATATTAATAATAATAACAATAACAATATTATTGTTATTATTAGGTCGCGGTCGAGCACGTGAACTCGAGACTTCCAGCCATAATAATAATAATAATAATAATAATGTTAATTTTCATAATATTAAGTTAGTTTATTCAGGTTGTGTATATATATATACATATATATATATATATATATATATATATATATATATATACACATATATGCATAAGGTAGACAATAAATATACTCTGCACCTCGCTGAGGCTAAAGCCTGTGCACGAACCCGCAAATCGCATTATATACATGATATCGCAAAACGTAGTAAATTTGTAAAGAAATGAAAATAGAAAATAGAAAAAAGGAAACAGTTTTTATAAAGATAAATACTTAAGCACTAATTACATAAAAGAAGAGAAAGAAACTTTATAAAACTATGCGTGATGAAATACAAATAATAATATTTATAATATTAATAATAATATTAATTATATTAACAATATTAATAATATTAATAATACTGATAATACCTGTCGGTCCCGTTGCGCAGGCTTTTGCGGCAGCAGTAGTGCGCCTTAGTGCGCCGAGGAGGCTGCAGGTTCGAGTCCTGCGGAGACATGGTCGTATTCGTGATTGTCCCTTCACTCCTCATCATCATCCTATCATCATATCATTCACACTTCAAGGCGTAACAATAGAAATGGGAATGTTAAGTAACAAAATAATTGAACGAATACAACAGGCAAAAGAAATGCATTTTATGTAAATTGGATGCTTTCTTACCAATTCATCTATATCATCGTAAAATTTTGATAACAAAGTTGGTTTGTTTATTTGACAGTACTATAGAATCATGCCACAATATGCCTGACACGTAACATGTGTAGACCAGTGTAATCAGTTATAAAATCTGCACAATAGAGAATTATAATTATTCTGTAATAGTTATTTCACATGCAAGCGAATTCAATTTCTAATATTTTGTAATGCAAATTTTGGTTCGGATATTTGTAAAATATTTTTATCACTCATTTTCATTTCGTCGTAGGGCGATGCACTGATCACAACCTGTGGATATAAGACGGATGACAGAGACAACATAACTTTGGGCGGATTCGCTATCAGTGACGAAATGTGCGTCAACTACGTGCACTATTTTCCCAAGATCGATTTGGAAGTCTGCAAGAGTTCCATAAGCAGCGAAAGTCTCAGCACCTACTTCCGGTTCATGCATGAGTAAGTACAACTCCAGCATGGCAGGTACGCCAAAGCCCTAACTTAAATAGAATCTTATACTAAAATTATTTTTGTATTCCATGATTCGTGACCCATTAGAATTATAAGTTCAGTGGTTCTTGAGTTAAGGTCAATCAAAGGAAACCAATACTTTACATTGTCGACTATTCGGCCACTTATACCACTTTCGGCCGGACTTCACCAGGACAACAAAATAAATACATTTCTTGAGTACGGTGTGGATCAGTGGACGGTGCTTGTTCAGTAAATAAGTCAATAGAATGAACCGTATCAATGAATGAATGAATGAGGAAATAGATTGAATCGTGCGTCTTATATTATGAATGTATTAAAATATGCTCATGACCCAGTATTGCGGCGGCGATGGTGTAACGGTTCGCGTACTGTTGTACCCAAGTTGGCGGGTTCAAACCCGATCGAAGCCGTAGGTTTTTAAGGGCGAAAAAATCCTTCGTACGCCTTCCTTCGGAGGGGAAGTAAAGCCGGCTGTCCCATGTTCGTAGATTTACTTGCATGTAAAAGATCCTCAATCCTAAATGACGCCTCTGAGCTAAATTCAAAATCACCTGTTTCTCGCCCAAGAAATACCTCCGTTCTCTGCTAATTGATGAAAGGAGCGTAGCGAAATTTGCGTGGTCAGACGGAAGAGCGGGCCTGATGGCCCGAGTCTCGCCACGTAAAATAAGGCAAATTCAATTCAATTCAGTATTCGTTTATAACGGTTGGTAAGTATTGTTATTTATTGGTATACTTCCACATGCGTGAGTATACTTTTCGGAGCGCTACTATTTACCTTATATTTTTCTATACAATTAAAGGACTCAGTAAAACAATGGGTTATCCCACATTTACATAGTTCTGAGATATTGAGAGTTTTAGCTGAACTTGCCTAATAAAACTCAGTTCGTTTTAATTTTTTTAAAACTCAGTACACTTGCATATAAGTCCATACTAGATTTAAATCACATATTATATTAAAATAATATTTGGAGTTTTATATAATGCAAATAACTCAATTTCATATAAGATATATGGGATAGCCCCTTGTTCTACTGAACCCTTCCATTATTGGGTTTTCTGTAATGGAGAATTTGAAATGTTTTTTATGACGTGGGGTGAAGGGTCCGTAGAAGATTGTAACATTTGTTCTGAGCCAGAGCGTCTCCGCGTGCGGCAGGTGGGAGCGGCAGCGCACGGGCGCGTCGCTCGGCGTGTCGGACAACTACCGCGCCATCGAGTGGACTCCGCTGCGCGCGCGCCTGCTGGCCGACCTGTACCACGAGGCGCCGCTCTCCATGCAGTGCAACCAGTCGACCGGCGAGCGCTTCCCGGGCTATTGGGAGAACATCCCGGTGCCGCCCGTGCTGTTCCCGCTGCCGCCGCCGCCGCGCCTCTGCCACCTCGCCCACTGAGGCGCGCCGCTCGCCTCGCCACGCCTCCTTCCGAGCGCACGTAAGGAACTCCGTCAGGCGGCGCCACTCGACACGGCAAAGCGTTGGTTTAAATGGAGGTATTCGCACGAGCGGCGTAGCCACAACTTGATAGTAGACGCTGGATCGCTCCAGCTCCTTTCCCACACATTCTGCATATTGCCATTCATGACTCCAGGATCTTTAACTATGCGTTTTGAATAGTTTTCTGTGAGCGTAGGCTTCCGCGTCCGGAGTCAGTATTTACTAGGCTGTCCGGGTGACGCCGCGTCCGTGGCGAAGGTGCCGACGTTTCGGTCGTCATTCTGCGACCTTCCTCAGGGCGTGTTGCTATTACTTGTTCTTGAATTGTGATAACGAGGCCCTCTGAATCAGGCACCCCACAGTAGCCGATTTTACAATTTATCTTCCACATTTTGATTGGCTACTGCAAGAGGACATGCTCCGTGGAGTGACTTCTGCTTCCATTTAATAATTTCTTCTTCTTCAACTGATGACTGTTGCAGGTTCATATCGCATCCAGAGGAGGAGATTAATTATCTGCCCATTTTATGTAATTATAAGATTAAAGGTTGTTTTTGCAACGAACTCTCTAAGCATTAGTTTTTGTCACATTTTGTCTCGTTAAATGTAACAAATGCTGATACATGTGAATGGAATGTGAATGAGTGTAATTCTTGCATGTAAGTCAAAGGATGTTTCAAAACGGGCGTTGCAGTGATAGATCCTGAGATATTTTCGTTCATTTCGTCGTTCCATTGAATGCTCCGACGTGGTGGGCCTGCGTGGGTTATCAAGAGTGGTTCCAGGAAACACTGTCGGCAGGTTCACCTGTGTTTTCCGGATATCGATGTTTCTATTATTACTTTAATTTACGTCTAAAAATGTTACGACTATGTTATGAGTCGGATGATTAAAGAGCCTCCTCCGGGTTGCAACCGGCTTCCTAAGAAACAGATCTTGGGACTATTGGTGCCTCTATAATACTTTCCACAAAATACGGGCTGTACGTAATTAAGCAATGACTTGCACTTCCCAGTCTTTTGAATGGCCTAGACGTTTAGCCAAGTTCTTACACAAATTGTGCGAAACAAATCCGAGAGCACCAATAACTATCGGGACGACCTCTGATTTTACGCTATTTCAAACGTTTGTATTGAAGACGTTTCTCTGCCTTATTATATTATTATTATTATTATTATTATTATTATTATTATTATAAATAGGGAGTAATTTAAGGCTTGACCCAGAGCCTTTTAATTAAGTTAATTAAATTACAGTTGTAAACATTGGGCTGGGGTTCCATTGAACCTTCTCTCTGCAATCGGATTAAGAATAAGGTATATTAAAATATTGTAAACTTTTTCTTGTCACGTCTTAATATTTTGTTTTGTCTCCAGGTTCAATCAACGCCACTCCCGGTTGGATCATCCAGAATTTCTTTGATTTCTAAAGCGTTTACTGCTCATCTCGAAGTGTTTTCTCTCTCCTCAAATGGCATAGACTGCTGGGTTCCAGGTGCCAAACCCATTTCCTAATCCGACTATGGTTATAATTATTCAACTTAGCAATGCATCCTTGGAAGATCTGATATTGTTTGAAGTGTGTGTGTGTGTGTGTGTATATATATATATATATATATATATATATATATATATATATTATATATATATATATCTATATATCAGAACGGACTTGGTCTAACTGGTCAGTAATTGTAATTATGACTGTTAACTGCCAATCTATGATTACTATTTCTGTGCTTCAAAGAATTTCCCGGACACCTAGTAATTTGTGTACTGTCCTTTAGCCATTGCCATCAATTGTTTTCTTGCTAAATCCAAACATGCTCGGAACGATTATGGGTACATTCTTGGAAAACAACACACATACGATAAATGTCAAAATAATACTGTAGATTTGTGTATATATTGTTTAGATGTAATTTCCTCAATGTTAAAAAAATCAGCACCACGCACCCTACTCGTTTGCTGCATCGAATCAATTAGAATCGCCATGTTACAGAGTAAGAACGTGTCAGGACTGTTTCAGAACGTTACGACACGGATTGTCCATGATATCTGCAATACATTCTACGCCAGTTTTAAGCCATGATTGAGCAAAAAGCAATGAACTGTCAGATCTCACAGCCAGCCATATGTGTGATCTGACTATTGTATATAGATATTTAAAAAATATATTAATATTATATGTTATGGCATTTTAATGAATTGGTAATTTTCATTCCCTGATCCTATTTACTCAATCCATCTCACCTCAAAACGTCGAATAATATTAAAGCTACAGAAGTGCAAAGAAATCTACTCAAGGATGTAGGTGCTGAAAAAATATGTGAATTCGCTCTCACAAGAATGATCGCACACTTCCACACAATACAAGAGTAAAGACGTTCAATTTTCAAAGAACTGTGAAGAGATCGAACTTTAAAGTGATCTCAATGATTTTGTGATTTACCATTCATAAATCGTAGAAAAGTCTAATTAACAATAACTTAGTGCAAAGCCTGTCGAATGTATTTGTTAAATCAATTGTCGACGATAGTGGCAAGTTAATATATGAGTTGTCACAAATTATACCTCTTATGTGAACGCTAAAAATGAAATGTGTATCAGAATTATGATTTTACCCACTTTATTTAAAGTTAAATGTTTCGACATTTAGGTATTTCGTAATGAATTTTATTACATTGCAAATATATTAATTATACCAATCCCTCTTTGTATTTGTAATTTGACTATATCCTGAGAAATTTTGCATATCTTTTTTTTAACCTGGGGATTTCCACGTATCGTAACGTCTTAGTAAATTACGTAAAGCAAATTTCGAGTATTTTGAATACCCCGTATCCCTCCTGTAACGCGCACTTGAAACCCCCCCAACGTAACGTTGTTCACATTACCCCTCTTATAAATTCAAGAATAAAAATAAATCATAACATAGTAAATACAATTTGTATTTATTTTACTTGTATTGAAAATTTTAAAATTAATGATAATGAGTAGAAACCAGTTGGAAATGCTGGCTGCACCTAACAATAAATTTTGGGCAAGTTGTGAGTGAAGGAAGAACGCAAGGGGCGAGCACATGTTTGCTCACAAGCTGTGCTCACGCCGTTGTAGATGTCGCATAAGCGGGAGCCTACTGCGTCAATTTAAATGGGTTCTAGAATATACTAGTACTACCTATAAGTTTTTTTACGCATCTATCTTCTTTGTAATCGTACAGAATCAATAAAATTTGTAGAAAAACTATTTCCATTTATTGTAACAATTTAACAAGCAAACTAATAAGTTAATATTTTAATGTTTTAGTACCCGACGTCGAGGTTGAAGAATTCTTACACAATGCAATATGTTCCTAAATTTAAAAAAAATTACTATACACTATTTCCAAAATATTAGCACTTTTAGTGTAAGTTTTAGTTTAAAGAAGAGAAGTTGTCATGTTTTTCGAATCTTCTTCTAACAGCTTTAATATTGTAACTAGAGATATCTTTCTCAGGGCAATATATTTCTCAATATAAAATATTTAAATCATTTAATGTACAGTTTTTTTCAAAATATTATGGCTTCTCCCCCTCCCCCGTCCCTTCTGCTTTCTCTCGCTGTCTCTTTTCCTCTATTTGTAAACAAATCTCTTCAGCAGGTGGCTCAGGGAGTCAGTTGATGTCCCTGCAATGCTTGTGACCGGGAGGCAGAAGCCTAGGGTTCTAGTCCCGACGTTGGTAGCAGGATTTTCGACTCTAGCTACACAACTAGGGCGAGTTCAGACGCCGTCTATAGGAGAACTCTTGCGGCTCGGCTGCTAGTTTTCCGTGGTTTCGCCGTTCAACATCAATCCAATGCCGGAGCAGTATTCTAATAAACGTGCCACGGACCATGCGCGATATTTCATTCCTCTTCCTTGTCATATCCTCATCTCTTACTTACACACTTACATGCACTACACTACCACACATGCCGAGAGACTAGTTGGGAGCTTAGGGCTTGTCCGTCTGGGGCGGTGTCCTGCAGGTGGGAGATACCTCGTAAGGGAAAATCTCCGCAATTTCTATCTACATATTGTTGCCTGCAACAATTAACCTTCGTTCATGCGTCACTTTATCTATTTAGCAGGCCAAACAATAGAATACGATCTTACCTTTGAGAAAAAGGGGTTTTCGCCCCGGGCATTGAACCGTAGTAGCTGATTGTTCATTACCTTCAACTCCCGTGTGAACATTTTTATCCTAAATGACCGTGGTATCGTTAGCCTACCGGCCTGACCGACAAACTGAAAATTGTTTTAAGCCGAGACCTGGGGAAGGATCAGCGGCCAAAGAAATTAGCGACGTTAGCCTTTCACACCACCTATTGAACTTGTACTCTCTTCCTCAGATCAACTCAATATCTCCTCTCATCAGATCATCTCTTCGTTCACACGCTCCAGAGGTTTGTTTTATATACGTTTTGTCACAGCAGGCGTTCGCGCCAGTCATGACGAACAAGAACTTTCATATTCGATCTCATCACTACATCATAATTCGTTGAATATCGTAAACTTCTCTTTGTGTATTGTCTAATGCTTTTACAACAATCCTCAAGTGAAACAATTTAATTCAGATTTTAATTTCATGGTGTCTAATTATGTTCGATAAAAAGTAAATTTTAACATTTTACGTATTTTGACAATGTTAGTTTGTTATTACTATTCTGCCATATATTCTAGACTTACAAAATATTCTGAGAGCCTTTTAATTACTGATTATTCCTTACACTTTACCGAAGTATAAATTGCAAAGAATAAGAAAATTTCATTTGGCGACACATAAAAATAAATTCTTAGAAACAAGATAAAGTTTTTTACAATGGAGGTTTCTGGAATGTCCCTTAATTTCCCTGAGAGACTGATGGTCTTAAATGTGCTCCCTTTAGTACATTCGTAGTGTAAATCTCAATGTTCCCGTTTGGTCGGCGCTTGCTATTGCGCGTTTAACAATGCAGCATCACGCTCAGCAGCTGACACGGAGCAATTAACAAAAGACACCGTTCACAAACTTCCCTTTTTGATAGTCCTAAGACCCTCAATAACTTACGCTGTCCTAATCTGTGGAGATGCCGCTTCTTCCGTTATGAAACCTTAACAAACCTTCTAAAATAAAATGCTTCCTACGATCACCAATGCCCCGTGGAATATAACCAATATAATTTGACATAGAGCCAATTACAAACTACGTTTCCTTACTGTCGTCCGAATTCTTTTTCAACCTCCAAACTGCCCCTTGCACCAGCCAATTTAGCCTTTATGTCTTATTCCTATCGTATCTACAAAAAATTGTAAGAGATAATTCAGTAAAATAGTTATACTATTTTAATTAAAATTTAAAAGCATACAGCATGTGCATCATATATTAAAAAAGACATGGGAGCATTCGAAATTCGAAGAACATGATCACTTAGCTTTTTTGAACAATGTTAGTAGCTATAGTTAACGATAAAAGTTATAGTTCAACTATTGTTCATAGATTAAAAAATCACTTGTAGCTGTATACTATAAATTTCTCTATTCCACCCACATCCTCTTAAGCGAGAAAGGTATAAAGCCAGGGAGAAACACTCACTTCGGGAGCCTGGTCCCACAGCTTTTATGTAAAAAAAGCCTTTGTATAAAGGTCTAAGAAGGGAAAGGATTTTTGCATTATAGGCTTCCCCTTTTCAGAATAATAAGGAAGAGCTTTGCCCCTATTTTCAAATGGATATAATCCGATCATCGCACTATAAAACACTTATCAAAATGCAGGGGCTGCTGGGGATCTGAAGCGGCCGCCCCGCCAGGCGCGCGAAGTTTTGCCCCTTTTGGGAACGAGGGCGGCATTCTAAGGAGATGAAAAACGCGGGGCCTAGAAAGGAGGGGCTGCTTTTGATAATGTGTTTGTTATCATGGGGGCGGGGCGCGCTGAGGCATAGTGTCCGAAGTCATCAATACGGAAGACGCAGGGGCTAGTTGATTGATTGATTTGTGTGTCCGGGCACGTCAGTTGCAATGGTCGCTAGTCCCGTAAGTGTAGTGTTTCTAACCCTGGCGGTCAAATTGATACTAGAAGAACCATTAAATGAGTATGCAGTGGGTATTACCCATCTTCTCACTCTCCCCGACAAACTGCTGACGCGCTGTCTATGAGTGAGACCTACAGCGAGGAATTTCACACCCGAAGATTTCTAGTTGAAGAATAGGCCTGTTAACTCGTTATTCGATCTCGTTTATGGCCTTTGTGCAAGATTACGTGAATCGTAGAAGTGTTCCGTACTAGTAGCTGGGTTTGATATTTCACTCTGGAGAAAATTACCGCAGACTTTCGCAGCACAAAGTTGTTTTGCATATGTAAAGTCGTATCAATTATCTCTCCCAGAATCGGGACATATATCTACAGCCGCAAATTATGCATTAACTGCCTAATATCTGCGTTTTGCTTGCTTTAGTTATGCATAGTGTTATAGTCGCGCATGAAAAAGTTAACTAAGAATATTATAATTGCATTGAGGAGTATCTCAACGAAGCATAACGTTCGTTTTGTTACGAACACGTCAGGAAATAATTAGAAATTAAAATGAATAATTTAATGCCTCTTCAACACGTGATTCACAGTATTAATCTTAATGTAGTACGCCTGAAAAGAACGCTTTAACTTTGATATAGCATTATTAAAATAGAAATGCATAATATACAAAACGTTTCAAAACTAGGGGGCACAATTTAAGGTATGTATTCTCCACATGTGGACAATCAAAATAGTGTTTTACAACATATGTACGAAAATGCTTCATTTCCGAGTTATGACCTTCACAACGCTGAAATTCACCGGATTAGTTGTTCTTCTTAAAGACGATGTTAAAAATGTCCACCTCCTGCTTTAATAATTTTTGAAACATCCTGTATACTATACTACATATATATATATATATATATATATATATATATATATATATATATATATATATATATATATATACACATATGAGGATACATCGAAAACGGTGCGCGTTTTTGAACTATTGCATAAGACAGCTTTTCGGCAGCGTTTCTCGCCTCGCATAGTCCATTAGATGGAAGATCGTGCATGTTTTGTCATGAATGTAAGGACAAATTGGCTTGCAGAAGTATTTTTCAATAAAATGCTCTCCATTTAGACCTAAGATGGCTTTTATTTCCTCGTATTTGTAAATGTAGTGAAGGAGAATGTTGTACTATAATGATGTACGTGATTTTTGATCAAACACAACTCCTCCAATATAAATATTAAAGAAACCAAAATGCCCCATTGGGTTAACGTGTGTAAGAATTACGTTCTACAACATTTTTGTAGTTATCTATTTTGAGAAAATTCTTCATTACATACAGCGTAGTTGATAATCTTTTTATGTTAATGTAACTTTTCGTTATTGCTATGAAACAAAAGGTGTTGAAGTTATTCAGCACCATAAATTCAATGCTACAAAGCACATCAAAAGGCACATTAAAAAAAAGGTTTAAAATTTAATTTAAATATTAATTTAATACCAATTTTAAAAAGGTCACTTCCAATTCATAAATGGATGTCCACAACATTGACAGAGCGTCCAGACTTTTCCACCGGAAAAAGTGCCGTGAATCATGGCCAGTATCTGTATAATATGTAAAATGTCACAAAAATATGTATTAAAATATCTCATTGAGTCCTACCTAATATATAATGCCTACTATAATTAGCTATTAAGGTAAACAATTAATTGAAAGTATTTATGAAATATCAGACTACTGTACTGCGACTTATAAAATTACGATACCCATTTTCTCATGTTTCAATTTTTTATCAATTTTTACTATTTTTCCCCATCAGTCCCATCGTTCTTGACTTCCGTGCCCCTGGGCGATCGCCCGCCCATGCCTAGTACCGGTATTGCCTGCATGACGGCTGAAACGTTGGCAACTATGCATAGCTCACAGCGTCTTCCGGACAGCCAAGTTTCTATTACTTGTTTTAATTAATTGATTTATGCTGCCTTGGAAATAAATCTGGCTTTTTCATTCTTCTCTTCATTTCTACCGGTAATGAGTTCCAAAAAAACGTTAATACAGCCGAAAGACAAAAACGACATTAATAACACAATTGAAACGAGGCATTACAATCCCGTCA